CAATTCTGCAAGTGGTTCTAATTTACTGTCGCTGTTCTCTAGCCGGTCTAAAACCGCTTTTGACCTAAAGGGACGCTTTTTGGACGCCATGGACTTTAAGTTTCCAGGCAGAAAGAACAGACAAAATGCAGACAGGGGACAGGACAAAGCACTCGGGACAAAATGTATGTGAAATGGTTTGAAACAGCAATGTTTTACTATGTAATAATCGTTTAGAAAAAAATGATGTTTTTTAAAATTTTCAAATTTCCCGCCGGTTCCGGCACCCGTATGTCCCGACGTCACAGGGACCGGATCACAGAAGCCGGATGCCGGCATCGGCCGGAGGAGATGGCCGGGGACGCTGCAGGGGACACATCGCGGGAGCGAAGGACAAGGTAAGCTCTGTAGGGAATCCCTATGCAGTGCCGCATGGTAAGCCCGAGTGTAGCTCGGGGTTACCGCTTTTGGTACTGAAACTTTACCCCGAGCTACACTCGGGAATACCGCCAGGGAGGTTAATTACGGTTTTTGTTGAAAAAAAAAAAATGTGTTCATCCCTGACAAGTAGATTGTCATGAGGGACAAGTAGATTGGGACACCGATTTAGTCCCTTGGACAAGTAGTTTTTTTTTTAAAAAAAATTTTGACACCCCTGTATACCATTGTAGATTGGCAGGCGGGCTTGCAGTGCCCAATCTAAAAAATTACTTCATAGTAGCCCAGTTGATTCCCCTTGTATCACTACATGATAACCATGAACTCCCCATCTGGATCCATTTTATAATAGCAGAATGCTCTCCTATTCCTGTACAGGGTGTCCCTAAATTCTTGACACACGGGAAATATCATTATGTGTATATACTGTATATGTGTATAATATATCACTATATAAACTCACCAGACTTTAACCCCCTTGACTTCTTTTTTTGGGGATGCTAAAGGAGAAGGTGTACTCAATGAAAATCAGATATGAATCACGTGAAGGAACGCATCATGAACAAATGTGCTCAAATTGACAGAAATGTGGAGTTACTGCACCGGGTTCATGTGAATCTTGCAAAGCACGTGGAACTTTGCATCTCAAATGGTGGAAATCATATTTAAGATGTTATTGATTAATATTCTAATGAAATAAAATGTTGAAAGATTTATTGTATGCAGGGGCGGACTGACCATTTGGAAACTCGGGCATTGCCCGAGTGCCCGGGGTCAGTAGGGGGCCCCATGAGATGCCCTTGGTACCTTTTTTCATAGGCTTTTTTGAGTTTGGGCAAGGACACAGGGGCCCCATGATCCCCTATTGCCTGGGGGCCCCATGAGTTGTCAGTCCGCCCCTGATTGTATGTAACCTAATCTGGACACTTCCCCATCAGAGACTCTGGATTTCTGACCCGTCAGTGTGATAGACTCCCCTACAGTGGGATTCAGTAAAATATTCCAGCAACCTATTTCAGAATTCATATAGTCCAAAATGTGAAAGTATAACCTAGTAAACTGTGACTTGCCAGACAGGATCTGCACACCCTGGATTCATCTTGGAGTAGATACTTGACTGCATGCAGAATGCTAGAGTATGTAAACACTGTCCAGTCCAGCTTTTCTCAACCTTTTTACCCCAGAGGATCTTTTGAATTATTTTCATATCCGGAAACACCTGCTAAAATATATTTCTACAACTTACAGCACATTAGCCAAATCAAAAGGTCAAATATCTACCTTTTGGTGTCAACACTTATGCTGCTTATTATAAAATCATTTTGAAAACTAAAGATTCCCTTACAATGATGGTCAGAGGGGAAATGCCTCTTTACACCGCTATTCAGTGAATGGTCCCTTGATATTATGTGTGAGAGAGGTGCCGACTTACATCTACAGTTGCAAGAAAAAGTATGTGAACCCCTTGGGATTACGTGGAGTTTTGCATGAATTAGGCATAAAATGTGCTCTGAATGTCATCTAAGTCACAACAATAGAAGAACACAGTCTGCTGAACATAATACTACACAAACATTAGATGTTGCCATGGTTTAATTGCACATAACATGTAAACATTCACAGTGCAGGGAGGAAAACATATGTGAACCTTTGGACTTAATAATTGGTTGACCCTCCTTTGGCAGCAATAACCTCAACCAAACGTTTCCTGTAGTTGCAGATCAGACCTGCACAACGATCTGTGGAGTAATTTTGGACCACTCCTCTTCACAAAACTGTTTCAGTGTAGCAATATTCTTGGGATGTCTGGTGTGAATCGCTCTCTTAAGGTCATGCCACAGCATTTCAATTGGGTTGAGGTCAGGACTCTGACTGCGCCACTCCAGAAGGCGTATTCTGTGCTGTTGCAGCCATTGTTTTGTTGAATTACTTGTATGCTTTGGGTCATTGTCCTGTTGCATCACCCATCCTCTGCGGAGCTTCAGTTGGCGGACAGATGGTCGTACGTTTTCCTGCAAAATGTCTTGATAAACTCTGGAATTCATTTTCCCATCAATGACAACAATCCGTCCAGGCCCTGAGGCAGCACAGCAGCCCCAAACCATGATGCTCCCTCCACCATGTTTTACAGTGGGGATGAGGTTTTGATGTTGGTGTGCTGTGCCTTTTTTTCTCCACACATAGTGTTGTGTGTTCTTCCCAAACAACTCAATCTTGGTTTCATCTGTCCACAGTATATTTTGCCAGTAGTGCTGTGGAACATCCAGGTGCTCTTTTGCAAACTTCAAACGTGCTGCAATATTCTTTTTGGACAGAAATGGCTTCCTCCGTGGTGTCCTCCCATGTACTCCATTCTTGTTTAATGTTTTCCTTATTGTAGATGTGTCAACAAAAATGTTAACATGTGCCAGAGATTTCTGTAGGTCTTTAGCTGACACTCAGGGATTCTTCCTTACCTCGTGCAGCATTCTGCGCTGTGCTCTTGCAGTCATTTTTACAGGACGACCACGCCTAGGGAGAGTAGCAACAGTGCTAAACTTTCTCCATTTGTAGACAGTCTGTCTTACCGTGGACACATGAACATCAAGGCTTTTGGAGATACTTTTGTAACCCTTTCCAGCTTCATGCGAGTCAACAATTCTTGATCGTAGGTCTTCTGAGAGCTCTTTTCTGCAAGGCATGGTTCACATCAGACAGTGCTTCTTGAAACCAATAAACCCAAAACAGGTGTGTGTTTTTTAAGGGCAAGACAGCTATCAGCAACACATCCAATATCATCACACTGATTGGAGTCAAGGTTGGCTCACTCCTGGCTCCAATTAGCTCTGGGAGAAGTCATTAAGCTAGGGCCTCACATACTTTTTCCTCCCTGCACTGTGAATGTTTACATGTTATGTGCAATAAAACCATGGCAACATCTAATGTTTGTGTAGTATTATGTTCCTTAGACTGTGTTCTTCTATTGTTGTGACTTAGATGACGTTCAGAGCACATTTTATGCCCAATTCATGCAAAACTCCACGTAATCCCAAGGGGTTCACATATTTTTTCTTGCAACTGTATGTTCAGGCAAAACGTTTGGGGAGGGTTATAACCCCTGTAAGGTTTATTTTTGCCATCTTTGTCCCATTGGTAAGATTTAATTTCACTTCCTGTCTTATAGCCAAAACAGAGGGAGGAAATCCCTGCCAATTAAGGGAATCTCTTGGGTACCCCCAGGTCACCAGAATTAGTATCGTCATTGGAAAATTTTCCTGGGCACAGCCCAAAATTTGGGATTTTCTTTTAATTTCACTTACAATGGTAATGGTAAACAGGATAAATAGAGAGGGTGAATCTCCCTAATGGGAAAGAGAGAGCACAAAAACTGAAAGGTGTTCTAATCCAACTCCTAACTATCCAAAACAGGGGGAAAAAAAATTGTCTTTAGTTATACTTTCAGTGAGAGGAATAATGCCTGTTCATTGGTGGTTAAAACAGGGAGAGTGTTACTAAAATCATGATCGGTAAGACAAAGGATGTCCTTTACATTTGTGGTCAGCAGAAAAGATTCTCCCCTTATATTAGTGGCCAGAGGGGAAGAATGCCACCCTTACAGACCGTAACATATGTAACATGCTGCTGGACCTGTCAAGTGTCATTTTCCCTGGAACTCTGCCATCAGATCAGTTCAATGAACCTTGGTTAACCTCCTTAGCGGTATTCCCGAGTGTAGCTCGGGGTAAAATTTCAATACCAAGAGCGGTAACCCCGAGCTACACTCGGGCTTACCATGCAGCGTTACTCTGGGGGTCCCTGCAGCACTTACCTTGTCCTTCGCTCCCGCGATGTGTCCCCTGCAGCGTCCCCGGCCATCTCCTCTGGCCAATGCCGGCATCCAGCTTCCGTGTTCCGGTCCCTGTGACGTCGGGACGTACGGGCGCCGGAACCGGCGGGAAATTTGAAATTTTTTAAAAATGTCATTTTTGCTGTCATTGCGGTTTCAATGCATTTCACATACATTTTGTCCCTACTGCTTTGTCCGGCGCCCTGCCTGCATTTTGAATGTTCTTTCTGCCTGGAAACTTAGAAAATTTCATGGCGTCCAAAAAGCGTCCCTTTACGTCAAAAGCGGTTTTAGGTCAGCTAGAGAACAGCGATAGTAAATCAGAACCACTTGCAGAATTGAGTGATAATGATTCGTGGGGGAAATTCGTCATCCGACACTGAAAACGATTTTGCGACTTTGCTCAGCGATGTGTGAATTTGCCTCTGTATTTCAAATTTCAGTGTTTTTGGTTTGATTATATTTATTGAATTAAATTTTTATTATTATATTATTATTTTTTATGATTATTTATTAAATTATAATTTATGATTTTGTGTTTCAAGTTTTATCATACCCGGGATGTTTACTAGACTCTTGTTCGGACAGATTTCAGTGAGTTATTCCTAAAAATTACAGCCCACAATAAAAAACTACATATTTCCATGCAAAAAAATGGTACCGCGCTTTCAGCACAAAAAATCGGAAAGAATCATACTGCCGAGGAAGTTAAGAAAGGCAATGAAATATCTAACGTATTTTTATTTTTTGTTGCCAGGTCACTGGTGGGTATATCTTACAACACAGATGAAGGTCTTTCGTCTTCGAATAGTTTGAAGGCATTCATACAAGCAGTCATTCCGATTTTGATTGAATGCTGGGTTGAGGAATCGCCCAGTAACATGTGTGATAGTTCTGAAAACTTGCTAAAACCTGTAGCACATCATCTACTGCAGCAGGTGCTGAGCATCATTTCTCTCCTTTGGAAGCTTAGTGAACACCAGGACGAATCACAGAAAATGGTAGTTATTGTTTAATACTTTTTGATAACATTGCATTTTTGATATGTGCATTTTTACTGTTAGTGGTAATGACTATCTACAGAACATTCTTAAAGTATTCAGACCCCTTTCACTTTTTTCAATTTTGTTATATTGCAGCCTGATACTACAGTTGTTTAAATTCATTTTTCTCCTATTAATCTATCTGCCATAAAACCCAGATCGGTGGAGGGTTGCAGTAGCGATTGGTTGTCTTTCTGGAACTTTGTCCCATCTCCACACAAGATCTCAAGCTCAGTCAGTGACCAACGGGTTCTTGGTAATCTCTCTTACTAAGGCCCTTCTTCCCCGATTGTTCAGTTTGACTGGGTGACCAGCTCTTGGAAGAGTCCTGGTTGTGCCAACCGTCTTCCATTTGAGAATTATGGAGGCCACTTCTCTTTTGGATCCTTTCGTCCAGCAGAATTTTTTTAATGTAGCCTTCCCAGATCTGTGCTTTGCAATAATCCTATCTCCTGAGCTCTGCAGGCAGTACTTTTTGACCTCATGACTTTTGCTCTGATATGATATGCATGGTTAGCTGTGAAAACTTTTAAAGAGAGGTGTGTGCCTTTCCGAATCGTGTCCAATCAATTTATTTTACCTCGAATGGATTCCAAACAAGGTGTAGAATCATCTCAGCAAGATTCAGGAGAAATAGGAGGCACCTGAGCCAAAGTTCAAGCATTGTTGCAAAGGGTCTGAATACTTAGTGGGGATCGAAAGTTTGGGCACCCCAGCTAAAAATTTGTATTAATGTGCATAAAGAAGCCAAGGAAAGATGGAAAAATCTCCAAAAGGCATCAAATTACAGATTAGACATTCTTATAATATGTCAACAAAAGTTAATTTTATTTCCATCATTTACACTTTCAATAAAATTTCAGCAAATTTTGGATGGTAAACTTGATGCCATCTGTGAAAAAGCTGAAGTTAAAGAGAGGATGGCTTCTACAAATGGATAATGATCCTAAACACACCTCGAAATCCACGGGGGATTACATCAAGAGGCGTAAACTGAAGGTTTTGCCATGGCCTTCACAATCTCCTGACCTCAACATAATTGAAAATCTATGGATAGACCTTAAAAGAGCAGTGCGTGACAGACAGCCCAGAAATCTCAAACTGGAAGATTTTTGTAAGGAAGAATGGGCAAAGATACCTCAAACAAGAATTGAAAGACTCTTGGCTGGCTACAAAAAGCGTTTACAAGCTGTGATACTTGCCAAAGGGGGCAGTACAAGATATTAACTCCGCAGGGTGCCCAAACTTTTGCAGACGCCATTTTTTTGTTTTCTGTTATTTTCACAGTGTAAATGATGGAAATAAAATCTAACTTTTGTTGACATATTATAAGAATGTCTAATTTGTAATTTGATGCCTTTTGGAGATTTTTCCATCTTTCCTGGCTTCTTTATGCACATTAATACAAATTTTTAGCTGGGGTGCCCAAACTTTCGATCCCCACTGTATGTACTGTTTTTCTTTTTAATAAATTCACAAACCTTTCTAAAATTCTGATTTCACTTTGTCATTTATGGTACTGAGTGTAGAATGAGAAAAAAGGTGAATTTAAACAACTGTAGTATCAGGCTGCAACATTACAAAATTGAAAAATGAAGGGGTTTGAATAATTTATGAATTCATTGTATTTGCAGACCAGCTGTGGGATGGGTGGGATAAATTAAGTTTTTATAATTTATACTAGACACACACTGCAGGAACAACCGTATGGGAAAACTTCTTTTAGCAGTCTGCCACAAAACAGAAGTATATAGCTAATTTGTCAAAGTTCAGTTTCAGTCACATTTAAAAGTTAAAGTGCTCCCTCTGTCACTGGATAACACAGCCTTGAAACTTGCACTAACCTGGACCAGGGTGTTGCTCAGGCCCTGTTCTAGACTGTAAATTCAGTTGTGTAACAGATGATTAGACAATATAAACCAGGCACCATTACAGATATGAATGTTTTAAATTTGCATTATGGCGAAGGGCAGGTACAGGAAAATACTGTGGTGAGGATGATGATGGTTACACTAAAAAAAACTTGAGCATGTAATCACTGCCCATTAGGACTAAAGTAGGAAGCAGAAAAAGGTAGAGGGCAGTGGATCACAAAAAAAGAGCATAATTGAAACAAGATGTGGATCAGACAACATATAAAGGGAAGAAAAGGGGTTGGCAGATATACAAGTATTCCGATGTGCTGCCAGATACAGAGGATAATATAAATGTGCTTATCGAGGAGTATAGAAAATAATCACCCCCCCCCCTTTAAAATAATTACATTTCGTTGCTTTGCGGCCTGAAATGAAAACAAACACAGTTTTTGTTTTGTCCAGCTGTATTTACTCAATGCAACTTTTTATAACATCTAAGTGATAACACCAACATAGAAAATTATTATATAAAGTGCATAAATTAATAGTGAATATCCTCAATTATATTATTATAAAACCAAGACCTTGAGAACGCCCGATGGGAGGGACGAAACGCGTTGACGCATTTCCGGTCCATACCCCGTACGTCTGACATCACTTCCGGTGAGTGGAGCGTACGCTAAGCGGTGCGTTCCAGCGGCCATCTTTGGGAGCTGTGTTGGTCTGTGTGGATTCTCTGCTCTATCCTGTGGCTGATGTGAGATTCCTGGAATAACGAGGCTGGTAAAACGCTCATGTTTTATCTGGAGGCTATTATATTCAATAAATGTGCCTTTTACAAGTTGCGTACATGTGAGTGGCCTTAATCTCTGCTTTGAAATTTTACTATTATTTGGCAATATTACACTATTTGAGATTTCTTTCTCCTGGTGAACGGTGGAGCCTATTCGGATGGTGAAGAAATCTATAGAGTGGATGCTAAAGAGGGTTTAGGACCCCTTTAACCACTTCCTGTCCGGACACTTTTACCCCTTCCTGTCCAGGGCAATTTTTAGCTTTCAGTGCTATCACACTTTGAATGTCAATTGCGCGGTCATGCAATACTGTACCCATATGAATTTTTTTTACCATTTTTTTGAGACAGATAAAGCTTTATTTTGGTGGTATTTATTCACCGCTGGGATTTTTATTTTTTTTACTATGTAAATGAAAAAGTTCAAAAATTTTGAAAAAAAGTGTTTTTTTAAATAAAATTTTGCAAATAAATAATATTTCATCATAAATCTTAGCCAAAATTTATTCCGTTATTTTTTTACTAAAAAAAAAAAATCCAAATTAGTTTATAACCAAAAATTATAATTTTTAAACTTTTTTTTTACATTTTATTTTATTTTTTTATATTATTATTTTTTATTTTTATTTTTTTTTTTTACATACTGTCACCCTAGCAGTACACTGTCACCATGGTGACACTGTACTACTTGTGGAGGGTGATGAAGATTTTTTATTTTTTTTTTACACTGATTGCTTTTACACCCATATAGGATGTAAAAGCAATCATTTCTCTTTCTCTCTGTCTGCATTCCTGCAGTCATTGAGAATTAGTGAGCTGTGATTGGTCACAGCTTGTCACATGGTACAAGGCTGTTGTGAATAGCCTTGTACCATGTGACCTCTGTGATCATTCACAGATTTCACACATAGTAAGCAATGATGTCACAAGTGACATCTTGCTTACTACTTTGCATGTGATCACTGATTCGCCAATCAGTGATCACATGATCGGGACCTCGTACAGAGGTCCCGTCCGACGATCGGTGTTTCACTGTGTCCAGAGGACACAGCGGGCACCGGATCGCGGTGGTGCGCGCTCCCAGGGAGTGCGCACAGCTAGAAAAGGCGGGTGCCGTTTATGGATGGCAACCCGACCCTGGACTGCCACCTCCCTGCCGTTTATAAACAGCAGGCGGACGGCAAGAGGTTAAAATTCCTTAAAGGCTTCTCACTCACCAAGTTCTGGTGAGTGCATTTGATGTTGGTTTCTGCACGGGTGGAAGTTTTTCTTTATATTTGAAGAATTTCTGGAATTTTTGATCTTTATTACACATGGACTTTTGGTGTTTTATAATAATATAATTGAGGATATTCACTATTAATTTATGCCCTTTATATAATAATTTTCTATGAGTGGATTTAGAAATCTATTTTTGCGCTGTTTATTTATATTTCTTATTGTTCGTGTTTTTTCACAATTTGCACAGCAGCAGTTTAGATTTTTGTAAGTTTTTGGTGATGCGCAGGAATAAGTTTTATAATACAGACTATTAATGCAAAAGGTATAAAAAGTGATGCAGCGATTCTGCTGACATAAAAATAAAAAAAAATAAAATATATCCTCCTGCTCTTACGATAAATGATACACTAAACTAAAAAAGCAGCCAGCATCTATCCCATACCAAAAAAAGGACAATAGAAGAAATGCATATATATGCAGCGCTAAAAAAAAAAAAAAAAAAAAAAAAAATATATACTAATACATAATATACAAAGTAATATAAAAAAGTAACAAAATGACCCAAATCCACATGGGGATATGAAGGAGACCGTGACCCCTAACAAACCGATAACAGTGGCTTAGTGCAAAATAAAGTGTCCACAGTTCATATTTCTAAGACGTGCAGGTGAATCACAGCACACTCCAAACGTGATCCCAGGTAGTATGGCTGCCTGGATCTGGAAACAGGCTGTTGTTATGTGAGTGTATACATCTCCTTTTTTTTGGCTTATTGTTGCCTTTTTGCCATTAAAAGCAGTAATACACTATGAGGATTGTGTTCCTTTCCTCATTTATGAGCATATGAGCTTTTGACATCTGAGGAGGTGTATTTCGTTTGCCCACTGGTCCGGCTGGATACTGTTCATGTTCATGTGATGACTGCCCATACCATCCTATCTGAGGAGCTACTGGTTTGAGGGATCCAGAGGTGATCTACATTTGCTTTGTGGCCCTGTGGGGTCATAGAGTGGAGGTGAGAGGCCATTGCAGCCATACTACCTGGGATCACGTTTGGAGTGTGCTGTGATTCACCTGCACGTCTTAGAAATATGAACTGTGGACACTTTATTTTGCACTAAGCCACTGTTATCTGTTTGTTAGGGGTCACGGTCTCCTTCATATCCCCATGTGGATTTGGGTCATTTTGTTACTTTGTTAATATATATATATTTCTATTATTTTATGTATATTATGTATTAAGTATATATATATTTTTTTTTTTTTTTTTTTTTTTTTAGCGCTGCATCACTTTTATATGCATTTCTTCTATTGTCCTTTTTTTGGTATGGGATAGATGCTGGCTGCTTTTTAGTTTAGTGTATCATTTATCGTAAGAGCGCAGGAGGATATATTTTTTATTTATTTAAGTTTTCTTATATAACACCAACATGTCAGAAAAAATTCAAACACAGAATCGCTGAGTTGGAGAAAGGATCACTCCCTTTTGTCAGTGTTTTGTTGAACCACCTTTTGCATTAATAGCCTTTAGTCTGCTGGGATATGTCTCTACTAACTTTGCACATCTAGACTTTGCAATATTTTTCCACTGCTCAAGTTCAGTTAAATTTGAGGGTGACCGTTTGTGGACTGCAGTTCCAAATTTTCAATGAGGTTTAAGTCTGAGCTCTGACTAGGCCATGCAAGAACATTTACTTTTTTTTCTCTTTCAACCACTGTGTGGTCATTTTTGCTGTGTGGTTTGGGTCATTGTCATGTCGGAAGGTAAACCACCTTTCCATTGACAACACTCTGGCAGAGGATAGCAGATTTTCTTCAAGAATTGGATGGTATTTTGCCCCATCCATTTTTCCTTCTATCCTGACAAGTGCTCCAGTCCCTGCTGCAAAGAAGCCCTGCCAGACATATCGTTTAGTGTTAAGGTCAAATAATTCAATTTGTCTCATCTGACCATAACACCTTTTTCAATGTGGCCTCAGAATCTTTAAGGTGTGTTTTGGTAAAGCTCAGTGGTGACTGCATGTGACCTTTTCTTGATGAGTGGCTTTTTTTTTTTTTTTTTTTCTTGCAATCCTCTCATACAAACCATATTGGTGGAGAATTTGTGATATTGTTGTCACAAGCACACAGTGACCACTCTTTTTCATAAATTCCTGCAACAGCTTCAGATTTACTGTAGGCACCTTGGTAGCCTCTCTGACCAGTTTCCTCCTGACTCTTTCATCCAGTTTGGAGCGACGTCCTGATCCAGGTAGGATCTGTGTTACCAAATACCTTCCACTTCTTAATAATAGACTTCACTGTGCTTCTAGGCATTGATAAAGCCTTTGAATTTTTTTTTTTGCATCCATCTCTTCACTTGTGCTTGTCTAAAACTTTATCCCGGAGATCATTTGACAGTGACTTGCCAACCATAGTTAATTGTTTATTTCAGTTGCACTATCAGGGACTGAAATGCTCCAGGAAAGCTCTTTTCATGCTGAGCTGATCAAAATGACCATAGCGGATTACAGTTGAAAGTCAAATGGCCATTGAGAAAGTGATTAGATAAAGCTAATTGAGTTTACAAGTCATTTTTATGACGGGGGGTGATCCTTTTTTCCAACTCGGTGATTGGTTTTTTTTTTATTTTTTTTTTTTGACATGTTGGTGTTATAGCTTTTACTTGGATGTTATCAATTAAGTAAATACAGCTGGATAAAACAAAAAACTGTGTCTGTTTTCATTTAAATAATAATTTTGTTGCTTTGCAGCCTTAAAAGGGGGTGATTCTTTTCTATACCCACTGTATATCGTATACACACACACTGATCCAGTTTCATGTGAATTATGTTATATTTGGTTAGAATATTCTTACTATTTACCAGAATGCTTGGCTAAGATTATTTGGTTTATTTTAAATATATTTAATTAGAATAATATATTTATGTCCTGAAAATACACTCTAGTAAAAAATACATATAGGCTGAACAGCCAGTGTGTGCCATGCATTGTTCTAATGGAGCAGGCTACTGCAATCCCCCTTGGTATGTGGTCTAAGAACCCATGGTTGTCATGAAGGAGAGCTATTCCCAAATACACACTCCACCAATTTCTTGCTTTGTAGGCCAAAATATTACTTTATTTGTTCAAGTCATATTGTATTACATTGGAAAGTAAGCTTGATTTTTGGTATTCTGCTAATGGCTTCCATGGAAATCAGATTGTTTTTGATTCTTTAATATGTTTGGAATGGGAAACCTCTGAGATGAGGCTGAAAATGCATGGGTAAAAGATCATTTACTTACAGTCGATGAGTGAATTCAAACCAGGAGATTAATTTCATATACTGATATCTTTTTCCACAATAGGATGGTTGGCTTAGGAAGAATTATCTGAAAGATTTCAAGCATCATTTCATGAAGCATTTCCCTTACAACCCGCAAGAAACCTTGAAACAGAAGAAAAAAAATAATGAAAGGGTAATACAATATATCTGTAAAGCATTTGGATAATTTTATGCCTAGAACGATTCTCCGATCTTCCTCAATATGCATGAGTTTTTCCTTGATTGTGGAGAATTGCAAAATTTGTAAATGTATTTTTTGCAGTTAGATTCACTAACTTTTTAGGGTAAAATCACCTTTTGGACAAAAATTATAAATGCACATTTTTTTTACAGGTAAAAAAATATGCATTTATTATTTTTGTTCACAGGAGCCTGTAATGCAGGCATGTCCAAAGTCCGGCCCGCGGGCTATTTACGGCCCGGGGGTCGGTTTAATACGGCCCTCCAACAGCCCCCCTGCTCTGTGTAATGTGGCCCTCCCACGGCCCTCCCTTCTATGGCAGACAGTCTTCTGCTTGAGAGCAGAGGGCAGTGCGCATGCCTGACTGCGGCGCGTTCTCCCTGGTCTGTGTAAATGCCGCTGTCGCAGGCCCTCCCTTCTGTGGCAGACAGTCTTCTGCTTGAGAGCAGTGCGCATGCCTGACTGCGGCGCGTTCTCCCTGGTCTGTGTAATGTGGCCCTCCCACGGCCCTCCCTTCTGTGGCAGACAGTCTTCTGTTTGAGAGTAGTGCGCATGCGTGACTGCGCCGCGCTGGGAGCGACAGAGGGCGGTGACGTCAGGGCCGGGCTTCCAGCGTGAAGTGTGTTTCTCTTCCCCTCCCGGCTGCCGAGCAGAGACTTCAGCTCCAGCTACCTTTTTCACCCTTCACATTAGTGCAGGTAAGTTTTTTTTACATTTATTTTCAATACATTGTGAAAACTCAGCTGTCAGTTGATCTTAATGTTATGAAATGAAAAGTATGTCGTTTGCAATTAACTTGGCATAAAATAATTTATTTGCATTTAATTGTAATGGTTCAAAGAATGTTCGGAAAAATGTTCGGCCCTCCACCATGTTCACTTCATCCAATCTGGCCCTCTTTGAAAAAAGTTTGGACACCCCTGCTGTAATGCATTGCTCCAGCAATCAGTATATCGTTGATGCCATGCAGGTCTCCTGCAGACCTGTCAGAATATCTGCTTGCCGTATGGGATGTACGGTAAAGCAGATATTCTGACAGGAAGCTTCAATTAACTACCATGTCGCTCCACAGCGCCGTGGTAGTTCATTGAAAAATACTTGCCGAAAGCTACTAAGGCTGACGGGACTTGTAGGCACTCATTCACAGAACTCTGAGTGGGCGGAGCCAGCACATGGCCACACTGTTTTTAAATCTAAGGCTACGTTAACACTAGCCTTGTTTTTAAGCGGCAGAAAGGCGTTTGGGAAGCGTTTTTACCGCTTCCCAAACGCCTCAGACAGTTCTGCCCATTGCAGCACATGGTGCTGTTCTAACGGGAGTGGTAGCGTCGCGGCGCAGCAAAACGAACGCCTCTGGTCGAGTCAGGAGGCGTTGAAGCCTCCTATTCTAGTGCGGTTGCGAATCAGTTGCGGGGCGTTTGCGGAGCGGTAACACCATCCAAACTTCATTCTAGGCATTTCTGGGGCGTTTTCAACGCCTAGCAACCGCCGCTGAACCACGCATGCCAAATGCTATAGGGGCGTTTGGCAAGAGTTGGTAAAACAGTCAAGTGTGAATGAGCCCTTACAGATTGTACAGGGAGAGGTCTCCCTGTACTATCAGAGGGTGTGGGGGGCAGCGGGTGCAGCTGCGGCTGTGGGAACATGTTACATGTTCCAAAGGTGAACTTATCCTTTAAGACAAGTCACAGAAACTAGCAGAGGTAATACAATAAATTCAAACAACCTCAGACTAGTATAGGCAGAGAACAAGTAACATTATTGAATAGCATTAGGAGGCGTGATAGCAGCGCAGGGTCACAAGACGTGTATGAAGACAGCAGGGGCAGAGGTGCACCTCCAGCAGCTTTTACATGGAAAGCTTACTTAGCTGTTCTGGTGTGCGGTAGCTGCAGTGAACTATTTTGAATTATACAGGGTGCAGCAACATTAACTTCCTTTTTTCAAAACGCAATAAAACCCATTTTATGAATCAGAATTGTTTTTGTCTTTAATAATGTAGGTACATATCTAAAGTTCTGTTTTACACAGTTTTGAAAATCATATCAGATAGGTGACGCCCCCCCCAAGGCGCGTTGGGTTGCGATCACAGAAAATCCGTTCGAAAAGTAGGCCTCTACGGCAAACGCACGCTGCTCACTGTTCCAACGCATGATGATGACTGACCTGGAAGAGAACAAAAACTTTAGAACCACGCCTGTCGCCTGAGACCACTCCCGCCCCGCTATGGCCGCTACAGCCTGAATGGCACGCATTTCAAAAAAGGAGGTTATGTTGCTGCACCCTGTATCAGCCTGTCTCTGGTGGAGATCACGTGTTGAAATGGGTAATCCCAGACATCGTCCCAATCCTTATTCTGCAGAGATGCAAAATATCGAGACCATTTCTCTCTGCATTTGTTTAATGTTGAACGGGCACGGTGGTGCAAGACATTTTAGATGTTTTGAGTGAGCTTTAGATAGAAAGGGGCTCCAACCTCAAAAGGGATTCTGACCTTGTAAGAGGGAGAGTGACTGTACTGGGGTCAAGTTGAGAAGTACAATCATGGTGAATAATACAAATTCCTCCTGCGCTATATGGAGTATCTAGAAATGAAAGCTGCTCACACTCTAAACTGATACCTCATACAGTGAACCAAAATAAATAAATGATATAGTGCAGCGCTACTACAATACTATCCCAACATCAAATAATATGAATAAGTGGGTTCACTGCATGGGTTAGGACTCATCAGGGTGTGCCAAGATGGCGGTTTTTGCTGTACATTGCTGATATTTGAGCTTTTAAAAAATGAGTGGGCATTTATTATCTATTAAAGAGGCTGATTTATACAATAATACTGCACTATGAAGGATCTTTTTTTTTTCACTCATCTTGGCTCATGGTGAGTGATATATCTAGCTGGTGAAACTGTCCTGAGAGGTCTTGAGTATTGATCACTAACCTGAGAAGGGATCCATAGAAGGAGTACTGAGGATACTAACCATTACTGGAGAAAGATCTAGGAATGATCTTGGAGGCTTAGTGGCCCTTTGGGTCGCAGATTGAAGGTGAGGGGACATTTTAGCCACAAGAGGAGTGTGCTGACACCATCACAGAAAATCGTCACTTTTTGCATGAGTTATTGTTGCGTGGAGCGCTAATTTGGAGGGTTTATGAACTTTAATTTTCAATGGAAAGTTATCTGAAGTTATATTTGTATTTAAGTTGGTCACTTTATTGTGTTCTTTGATCACTTTTGTGTGGTTTATGTATTATATATGGGGGTAGTTTATATTGATACACATGTTGATGGATCATTAAGGCACAGGTCCTGAAGTTTATATCAGGGCTGTAGGTCACTTATTTATTGAACACTTGTATTTGTAACACATTGTGGCACTTTATTTATGTATTTGTATATATATTTAGTGTGTTATCACTTCATTTAGTCACATGTGTGGATTATTTACTAGATTATTTATATTATTTGATGTTGGGATAGTATTGTAGTAGCGCTGCACTATATCATTTACTTACAATCATGGTGAAGCTGCAGCAAACAAAAAAAGTATCAATTGGGGAGATAGAAAATTGGCTCTATAGTGCAGGAAACTTTAGGCGTTTATCACGGACACCACCCCCCATTGATTTCTCCATCACATCCAACAACGCTACCATCAAACCCGCCCTGCAGGCCAGAGTACTGGGTGTCATTCTGGACTCCAACCTATCCTTCCAGCCCCAAGTCCAATCTTTAACAAACTCGTGCAGACTCCACCTCCGCAACATCGCCAAAATCCGCACGTTCCTAACCCCAGAAACCACTAAACAGCTCATCCACTCCCTCATCCTATCACGACTCGACTACTGCAACTCCCTCCTCACTGGCCTGCCTCGCCGCTGGCTATCCCCGCTTCAGTCCATCCTGAACACGGCTGCCAGACTCATTCACCTTTCCAACCGCACTGTCTCCGCCACCCCCCTCTGCCAATCCCTCCACTGGCTTCCGATTGCGCAACGGATCAAATTCAAAATCCTAACGCTGACATACAAAGCTGTCCACCATACTGCCCCGAACTACATCACTGACCTAATATCCAAGTACCACCCAACACGCACACTCCGCTCCTCACAAGACCTCCTTCTCTCTAGTTCCCTGGTCTCCTCCTCCCATGCCCGCCTCCAGGACTTCTCCAGGGTGTCACCCATCCTCTGGAACTCCCTGCCCCAACCCATCAGATTATCACCTACTCTCCTCTCCTTTAGGCGCACCCTGAAAACCCATCTCTTCAGGGAAGCCTACCCCACCCCCTGCTAACTTGCTGACCTCCTCCACTCTGCCTACCACTCCATCCCCCACAGCTATCTCCTCCTGTACCACCATCCCCTCCCTCCTAGATTGTAAGCTCAAAAGAGCAGGGCCCTCAATCCCCTCATGTTTTGCATTGTATTGGTATTGTTCTGTCACATGTTCTGTCTCCCTTTTGTAATGTACAGCGCTGAGCGAACTATTGGCGCTTTATAAATACTGTATAATAATAATAATAATAATCACGTTCAAACAGATTTCCCCAAAGTCTTAATGCCCTCTGACGCCCAGATGACTGGCTTTGGGAGTTGAAACAAGTGTAAAATATTGGGGTTCCTCCACAAAGGAGTAAAAGGAAAACAAATATTTGAAATATATCCCTCAATAGCCACAAGTAGCAGTGATATTACTGTACTGCCCATACATAATGATGGGGAGGCTAGCTGTTAAAATACCATAGCTGCACGTTTATCTGCCCTGTATAGCATGGATAGAAGAATCTGTTAGCCCACAGGCTGAATGGAAAAAAAAAAAAAACTATTGGTGTATGTCCAGCTTAAATAATCTACCACTGTTAGGGCTCGTTCACACTTGGCTGTTTTACCAACGCTTGCCAAACGCCCCTATAGCGTTTGTCAAGCGTTGGTCCAGCGTTTGTGGAGCGGTTTTCAGCGCTCGGCAAATGCTCTGCAAACGCTGCATGCGCGGTTTAGCGGCAGTTGCTAGGCGTTTGCCGAGCGTTAATAATGCCCCACAAATGCCTATAATGCAGTTTGAGTGGTGTTACCGCTCTGCAAACGCCCCGCAACCGCGTCGCCACTGCAAACGCCAGCCGGGCGTTTGCGGAGCGGCACCATAGACAATAGGAGGCTTCAACACCTCCTGACTCGACCAGAGGCATCCGTTTTGCCGCAACGCAAACGCTCCCGCTAGAACAGCACCATGTGCTGTAATGTGCAGAATTGGCAGAGGCCTTTGGGAAGTGGTAAAAACGCTTCCCAAATGCCTCTCTGCCGCCTGCACACAGCGCTAGTGTGAACGTAGCCTTACACTAAATCTAACAATTGTGTTAGAGAATTGTTAGGTTTTTTTCTCTACTTATATTGTTGCTATAACTGATATAATTTACAAAAAAATAAATGATATAATTAATCAAGCATCTGAACATGAATGACAATGATTTATGTTGTGCACCCAAGGTACTTCGCATTGTGTTTTTGGGCATCCTTTCACACACGCAACATCCGCAACTGGTTAAGTAGCAAATATCAGTTTTGTTCAAAGCTGATCACAAGACTAGGATGCTCATCTGTTCTGGCAAACCATTAAACTGATACATGATAAAAAAAAAAGCTGACTAAATGCTTTACTTTCCATTGTTTTTAGAAACCATTGTTTTGTGATTGGTTATGCCAGGTCATTTGTCACATGATTTCTTCTGAAGGGGCACAGGGGACTGATAGGCCAATCAATAGCTCTGTATGAACCCCGCAATTTCCCAAGCAGCATACATTACGTGACCAATCCTTGAAGAATACATCTTCTGACTGGTGCTTGTAGAAACCTAAAGCAGTGCTTTCTGAAGAAAATAGAAATCAGTATTCTTAGGCCCCCTGCTAGAATTCATTTAAATGCAGTTTGGCAGAATAGGTAATGATTTGAACCTAGGTATGTTATGCGATTCTGCACCAGTGTTCCAACCATCAATAAAAGAAAGTTATTTATCCTTATTAAAGAAATTTAATTTTTAAGGATGACACTGTTGAAATATTTTACCAGTAGACCAATTATAACATATGTTTTCTTTTGTGTAGGAATAGAGATGGATTGCTTCCTTATAATGGCTTGGATTATCTTTTGTTAAATTTAACTTTATGTGAAATTATGGTCTCTTTGGCAACACCTTCAACCCTGCAAGAGGATTCAGACTGGCTAGCCATGATAAGGACATTTGTGACTGAAAAGTTGATTAGTGGGTGGAAACTGAATGCTAAACAATTAAAACGACTACTTGAAGTAACAAACAGACTTTTGAATATCCACATTAACAGAGGTAAGATTTTCTATTTAATTAAGTGTTCTTGCATGGCGACCACTTCCTGTTATCTCACATATATATTTTTATTATTATAGCCAAATTTACCACCCTAACTCCTCCCACAGTTTTTACATTACATAGACAGTAATATACCGAAACGTGCGGATTGTTCCCGATTGGTGTGCTATTACTTTGTGGAACGTTTCGCCGAATGCTTCACGAAATAGCCCTTTTTTGTGGTGAAATTGGTCCCATAGGAATGAATGGCAGAATGTTCAAAACTAGAGTAAGAGCTGACAAAAGCTAGAGTGTGAGCTGAAAAATCAGGACATGATTTCTAAACTGCCATCACTCCCTCATTTTCAAGCCCACCTACACAAATCTTATATCAAAATGTTCAGCTATCCCTGCTAACACTAAAAATGGCTAAGCCATAGTCCTGATAGTTTTCACAATATGACCATTTGTTTGCAACTCACGCCGCCCATTGACATTCATTGAAACTCCACTCTAGCCACCTCAAATTTGAAGGGCAATTTCTAAACTGAGACTGTGCCTTCATTTTTAATATTTCAGAGACATACTATGCATCAAAAATGTAGGTCTGGGTCTTGTGATTCTCACAATATAAAGCTCTTCGGTGTAGGATTTATAATTTTTAAACAACAACCGTTTGAAGATGGCAACCTCCAGTGAAGTGAGCACGTTGGAGCAGTTTGTTTTTAACCGCTCTTCTCTGCCCTTGCTGTAGAGTGAGTTGCCATAGGAACCCACTACTGGTGGAGGCAAGAACACTTGTAATTGTAGCTTTTTTAGTTGAAAATGCTTCTCCCTCTAGGAATAAATTTTTTTTTTTTTCGTTATAACCATACAAAGCTTTCCAAATATGGATGTCAGTTGCATGTTGTGCCTTCTTTTGTATAAAACATAGCAGCAATATGATTTACAGACATCCGGTTCACCTTTTAACAACAAGCCGCTTATGCAGATGAGGGTCGCCTGTAACTAAGAGCAAACTGCCGCTTTGACTAAAGTTGAACAGTGTCCTTGCTCTAGGTGTAGGCCATCTACAAACCCCCTAAAGCCTCAGTGAAATATTCCCAGAGATGTTCCTCCATCCTGCCTTGTTTCTAGGACATTTGCATCTGTTAATTCTTTGCCCCACCATCACAGGAGCAAGCTCTCAAACTCCTGTGCATGAGTGGTTCACGATCTCCTCCATCGCAGCTTCGCTGAGCTCAGAGCTACTGCTACGGGGAAAAAGAAAAAGTGTTTGTGTAGGGGTTTTAATTGGCTAAAGAGCTTGCTTCTGTTGTGGTGGGGGTGAACAGTAAAGGCTAGGACGGTCTTGGCAATGTCCAACAAGGACTGGGAGTGTCTTGACAATGTCCAACAAGGACTGGGCGTTTTTCAACCAGGCTTTGGGAGGTACATAAATGGCCTACAGTTATAGCAATTACATTATTTAACTTTGGTCAAAGCTGCATAGTTTTTTTTTTTTGTTTTTTATCTACAGGTTTTCCTTACCTACGTAGGCAGTTTTTGGTAAAGGTAAACTAACTCCAAGGGCTTTTTTCAATAAGCTTTGGGTTTGCGTTGATGTCACTTTGACATCAGTTTGAGAAGTTAGCATTCATTGACCAGTGCATTTGATCTGAAGGTATGCTTCTTCTGACCTGCTTCAGGCTGGTTTTACATTCCTAAAGATTTTGAATGAGAATGCAAAACCTGTTTGTTACTTTGTATCAGGGTGGCTAAAAATCAATGATTTTTAAAAAAGAAAATAAAAAAAATCTGATTTTTTTGATTTAAAACGGATTTTTTTTTTGAATAAAATGCTTTTTGAGGAAAATATATTACCATCCAAAGGTTATTCCATCATGAAATAAAGATTAGTTTTTTAATTATGTAGAATAAGGATGTATATGTTTAATTTTTTTAGTAAATTCCATGAATCCATTCACAATGTCATGCTCTTCCAGAGGTTTTTGTAAGATTATTGGGCAGTTTCTCTGCCTACAAGATATTATCACAGATGATTGGTTTACTTTTGCAGTTCTCAAAACTGAATTTGACTCAGCGGAGATCACATGCCTCTTCTTCACAGCAAAAATGTTATAACATGAACAGAGTTAAGAAAAAGACCTTCATCCTAACTTCTACAAACCTATGAATACAGAATCAACCCCTTCAGTGCTAAGTTTCAAGAAGTTCAGTGAATAGAATAGAAACAATATTTTTCTGATTGTTTGGAGTGGAATAGATCTGCACAAGAAGAAAGTGAAACTAAGTGTGAGGAGGAAGGGGCTGACAGTCTAAGTTTCTTCAAATATATATATTTTATTATTATATATTAAGGTATTTTTCTTAACTTTTTAATTTTAATAATTTAATAACTTAATTTTTTTTTTTTTTGATTTTTTAAAAAAAAATCATTGATTTTTATCCACCCTGGTTATAACTGAATGTTAAGATTAAAATGATCCCGTATCCAGCCTTTCACAGACTGTTCACACATACCCATGTCCTGTTGATGCCCATGTTTGGAAGAGCTTAAAGTCTGAAGCAGCCTATAGACCAGGGGTGGGCAAACTTTTTGACTTGAGGGCCGCAATGGGTTCATATATTGGAACCGGGGGCCGGACCAAGAGTAGATGAATGATGTGTATGTGTCATCCATAGTAAGTATAGTAATATTCCCCCATAGTAAGCATAGTAATTAATCCCCCATATAGTAATTCATCCCCCATAGTAATTCATCCCCCATAGTAATTCATCCCCCATAGTAATTCATCCCCCATAGTAATTCATCCCCCATAGTAATTCATCCCCCATAGTAATTCATCCCCCATATAGTAATTCATCCCCCCCTATAGTAATTCATCCCCCATATAGTAATTCATCCCCCATATAGTAATTCATCCCCCCTATAGTAATTCATCCCACCTATAGTAATTCATCCCACCTATAGTAATTCATCCCCCCTATAGTAAGTCATCCCCCCTATAGTAAGTCATCCCCCCATATAGTAAAGTCATCCCCCCTATAGTAAGTCATCCCCCATATAGTAATTAATCCCCCATGTAGTAATTCATCCCCCATGTAGTAATTCATCCCCCATGTAGTAATTCATCCCCCATGTAGTAATTCTTTCCCCATATTAAGTCCCCAAGTCCCCCCTGTGTCAATTCACTTACCTTTGCTCCGCGCGTTCCTCTCGCCGTGTTCCCGCGCCGTTCCGGTGTAGCATGAAAATCTGTCTCCTATGTGGATCTGTCCCCCTCGACGTATCTGCGCATGTGCCAGTTTCAGGCATTAGTAGCCGATCGGCGATCTCCGGCACATGCGCAGATACGTCGAGGGGGACAGATCCTCATAGGAGACAGATTTTCATGCTACACCGGTCTTCAGGGCGGACTGTGAGAGGAGCCTAGCTCCCCTCACGTTCGTCACGCTGCCCCGCCTACACACATCCTGACAGCCATCCTGACAGTATCACGCTCCGCGGGCCGGATTAAAAGGTCCGCCGGGCCGTAGTTTGCCCATTGCTGCTATAGCCTATTCATTATTTTTCTTTCAAGTGGGTTGAGTGAAGGAAAAAAAAAATGATCCAATTTCCCCATCCACACATTGGAGGAGATTGGAGGCATAGTCCTCGCTGAGCTATTATGTTTTGGCAGTGGGAGATTTCCCTCACTGTCAGAATACACTACTCAGTGCTGCAAGCTATAGTCTACGATGCTGATCAAGTGAGGAAATCCTGACAGGCTGTTAGTGCGAAAGTTGACTGGTAGATCGGCTTCTGTGCAGCTAGCCTGCCCATACATGGATTGAAATTCAGCTGGTCCTGGCTGATATATACAGTGGTACCTCGGTTTACGAACGCCTCGGTTAATGTAATTTTCGGTTTACAAATGAAAATAATGCCTCGGTTTACGATTTTTTTTTTTCACAATACAAAGCAAGTTTCCGCAGGATGCATTGCGCCTGGGAGGTTTATAGTGCTGCCCCCATGCATGTTGGAGTTTGTGGGGAGCACGTGGCGTCAAGTGTGGAGGTGTTAGAGTGCTTTATGTGTAAAATATAAGTATAAGTGCCTTTTTATATATAAATAAAAGCTGCTATGCACAAAAAGGTAACCAATATCACCCTAGAACAGTGATGGCGAACCTTTTTGAGCCCGAGTGCCCAAACTGCAACCCAAAACCAACTTATTTCTTTCAAAGTGCCAACACTGCAATGAAACCTGAATATCGAGCTTTTGGTTTAGAAAAAACAACTCGTACAGTAGTGCAAACTAATTAACAGTACAGGGATGACCAGAGACTGCGGACAGTACAGGGATGACCAGAGACTGCGGACACAGTACAGGGATGACCAGAGACTGCAGACACAGTACAGGGATGACCAGAGACTGCAGACACAGTACAGGGATGACCAGAGACTGCGGACACAGTACAGGGATGACCAGAGACTGCGGACACAGTACAGGGATGACCAGAGACTGCGGACACAGTACAGGGATGACCAGAGACTGCGGACACAGTACAGGAGATGACCAGAGACTGCGGACACAGTACAGGAGATGACCAGAGACTGCGGACACGGTACAGGGATGACCAGAGACTGCAGACACGGTACAGGGATGACCAGAGACTGCAGACATAGTACAGGGGATGACCAGAGACTGCGGACACAGTACAGGGGATGACCAGAGACTGTGGACACAGTACAGGGGATGACCAGAGACTGCGGGCACAGTACAGGGATGACCAGAGACTGCGGACACAGTACAGGGATGACCAGAGACTGCGGACACAGTACAGGGATGACCAGAGACTGCGGACACAGTACAGGGATGACCAGAGACTGCGGACACAGTACAGGAGATGACCAGAGACTGCGGACACAGTACAGGGGATGACCAGAGACTGCGGACACAGTACAGGGGATGACCAGAGACTGCGGACACAGTACAGGGGATGACCAGAGACTGCGGACACAGTACAGGGATGACCAGAGACTGCGGACACAGTACAGGGATGACCAGAGACTGCGGACAGTACAGGAGATGACCAGAGACTGCGGAAAGCACAGGGATGACCAGAGACTGCGGACAGTACAGATGACTGCTGACCTTTGGGGAGGGAGGGGGAGCGGGTACCTGAATTTGACAGGTACCCGCTCTTACTTCCGCAGTTTTTTTTTTATCTTACCTGTTCCTCTATCCAGCCGCGCGCTGTCTTCCCGGCTTCTGTAGTGTGGGCGCTCGTCGGACAGCCGGATGCCCAGTGCGCATGCGCGAGAAGCGCTGCGCTTTGTGATTGGTCCGGCGGCTTCTGGGATCTGTCATGTGTCCCAGGTACTGCCTTACCATTCACAAAGAGCACTGCTTCTTGCGCATGCGCACTTGGGACCCGGCTGTCACGCACACTACAGAAGCCGGGAAGACAGCGCGCCGCTGGATAGAGGGACAGGTACGGTCCCACTGCAGAGCTGAGCGGCCGGCCCGGTATTCTGACACGGCGGCGGTGGAAATACCGGACCGGCCGCTCTATATTCGCTCCATAAGACGCACTGACATTTTCCCCCCTTTTTTGGGGGAAAAAAAGTGCGTCTTATGGAGCGAAAAAATACGGTATTCTCCTGGCGTGCCCACAGATAAGGCTCGGCGTGCCGGCTGTGGCACGCGTGCCACGGGTTCGCCATCACTGCCCTAGAACATCAATATATATAAAAAAGTGCAGCGCTAATTTGAGCAAAGACAAAATATATAATGAATGGGTATGGATAAATATCCCTTAACCAATCCAAATACATACATAAATATATATATATAAAAAAGTTCAAATGATAATGTGATCCAAAATAAAGTGACTCTTGTGCTCTGGTGACTCTAGGGTCCCGGTATCCGTGCAATAGTGGTGAAGGTAATGCGCACTCACCAGACGCGCATGTTAAAAGCGCTTTGTGTAAAATAATCCAGATGTCATCAGATTAAAATTCAGAAAATAATGTGGCCTGTACAAGGCAAAATGCAATGCATCGAGTTTTGGAGCCATTCTGGAAATTTTTTTAGCATGTCCCTGTACAGAATTTATGCCTTTAAAGTGCACTTTATAAAGAGTTTTGAACAGATAAAAGACTTTTTTTTTTAAACTTTTTTTATGACCTCCGGATCGAATTAATTGGTTTTCAATGCATTCCTATGGGAAACCGTGTTTCGGTTTACAAATTCTTTGCAATACAAAATGGGATGTTTCCGGGACGGAGAACACCTTAAATTCGTAAACTGAGGTACCACTGGGTGTGTGTGTGTATGTATGTATGTATGTATGTATATATATATATATATATATATATACACACACAGTATTAAAGTCGTTCTAAAGCCTTAAAGGATAAGTTCACTTTTTGACCAAAAATTATAAAATGCACATTTTGTACCTGGAAATGTACAGGATGTACGGACAAGATATACTGACAGAAAGAGTCGATGAAAAACAGGTGGAACATGTTCCCAAAGGTGAACTTATCCTTTAATACATTCCCTGCATTAAGCTAAAAAAAAAAAAACCTTCTGTGTCCTGGATCTCCCCCCACACACCCTTATACTTGCGTGAGCCAGATCTCGATCCAGTGCTGTGCCTGAGAGCAGCATCTCCCTCCCACTGCACAAGGCAGTTTGATATCAGTGGGAGCCATTGGCTTCTGCTGTTGCCAATCAGAGACAAGGGAGGGAATGCTATAGATAGGCTCGGGATTGTAGTTGTGCCACGATAGGAAGCGGCAGAGAACCTAAGAAGTGGCAGTTCGGGGTTAATCTGTACAATACCATTGATTAGAGTAGGTAAGTATAACATGTTTATTATTTAAAAAAAAAAAAAAAAGTTGTGGTTTGGAATCACTTTAATACCATGTGTCCCTTGTGCTGCTGCCTCTTGTATTTATTGAAATCTTCCTCTATGGATTTCCACTCCATCCCTGCTGCTGGAAATTCATGGGGAGTAAGGTTTGATAAAGCTGATATACCTGACACAGGCACTCATCAAGATAACCTAACTACGCCAACCCTTTCCGTCCAGCTCCCCATTCATAACAACTGTATTATAGCATCTCTGATTGAAACATAAGATATGAATGGAGGAGCAGTACTCTTATTTGTTTTTTCATTCCAAGAATTGATTGCCGATTTCCTATAATTAGGATTTAAGGAATTGCTATAATCAGCAGCTGCTCTTGTGCAATAAGTGCAGCGCAGGGCCAACTACTTCTTTAGCATCAACAGGGACTGTTCTTGTTAGGTATGTTAAAATAGTTAGCAGATTGTCCATAAATGTTTGGTAAGTATTGCTGCACTATTTTACTGTAAGGGAACCTATAGAGCAGTGGTTCTCAACCTTTCTAATGCCGCGACCCCTTAATACAGTTCCTCATGTTGTGGTGACCCCCAACCATAAAATTATTTTCGTTGCTACTTCATAACTGTAATTTTGCAGTGGGAGGAGTAGTGCCACGTCATTGGTGTCAGTGGGAGGAATAGTGTCCCATCACTGATGTCAATGGGAGGAATAGTGTCCCATCACTGATGTCAATGGGAGGAATAGTGCCCCATCATTGGTATCAGTGGTAGGAATAGTGCCCTATCATTGGTGTCAGTGGTAGGAATAGTGCCCCATCATTGGTGTCAGTGGGAGGAATAGTGCCCCATCATAGGTGTAAGTGGGGGGGAATAGTGCCCCATCATTGGTGTCAGTGGGAGGAATAGTGCCCCATCATTGGTGTCAGTGGGAGGAATAGTGCCCCATCATAGGTGTCAGTGGGAGGAATAGTGTCCCATCGTTGGTGTCAGTGGGAGGAATGGTGCCCTATCGTTGGTGTCAGTGGGAGGAATAGTGCCCCATCGTTGGTGTCAGTGGGAGGAATAGTGCCACATCATAGGTGTCAGTGGGGGGAATAGTGCCCCATCATTGGTGTCAGTGGGGGGAATAATGCCCCATCATTGGTGTCAGTGGGGGGGGGAATAGTGCCCCATCGTTGGTATCGGGGGAGCAATAGTGCCCCAACGTTGGTGTCAGTGGGAGGAATAGTGCCCCATCGTTGGTGTCAGTGGGGGGAGGAATAGTGCCCCATCGTTGGTGTCAGTGGGGGGAGGAATAGTGCCCCATCGTTGGTGTCAGTGGGGGGAGGAATAGTGCCCCATCGTTGGTGTCAGTGGGGGGAGGAATAGTGCCCATCGTTGGTGTCAGTGGGGGGAGGAATCGTGCCCCATCGTTGGTGTCAGTGGGGGGGAATCATGCCCCATCGTTGGTGTCATTTGGGGGAGGAATCGTGCCTCATCGTTGGTGTCAGTGGGAGGAATAGTGCCCCATCATTGGTATTAGTGACACCAATGATTGGGCACTATTGCTCCCACTGACACCAATGATACTTACCTTGCTGACCCCTGCTCCAGCCTGGGCTCGCTCGCTCCCTCCCTCTCCCATGGTACAGACACTTACCGGTCAGATGTCTTCCTTCTCCGGCCGCTCTCCTCCTCTTCACTCGCTCGATCTTCGCGGTTCCGCTCGGCTCCTCCTTTCCAAGCTTCACCTCCTCGCCGGTGATTGGCCGCCTGTGTGCATCTCCTGAGCTACAGTTCCGGCGGCCAATCACCGACGAGGATTGATCCCGGGGGTGTGTCCAGATGACAGGGACGGCATGTCATCCCGCCCACACCTGGAGTCGGATAGAGGAGCGGTGTCTCGGTTCCTAAGGCCATCGGAAATATGTGTTTTCCGATGGTCTTAGGCGACCCCTGGGAAAGTGTCGTTCGACCCCCAAAGGGGTCGCGACCCCCAGGTTGAGAACCGCTGCTATAGACTAAGTAATACACTATGAATTTTCTTTTTTCTTTCTTTGAGGTTATCATGGAGTTTTAGAACCAATTTCTTATTTACTGGACTGAAGTGAAAAATTTGGAACTTGGACACCTTTGAAATTTTTTTTATATATATTTTATTTATATATTTTTATTTTAAGTTTTGAATTTTTGTTGGGTTTTTGTTTTTAAGACGGAATTTGGTGTGGATTTATTTAAACACAATTTAGTTGAAGTCATATTGATTAATAGTTGGAGTTCTTTTTGGGGGATTTATATGTGTATCACAAAAAGGATCTATTAGATTACAAAGTTATACATGGTTATGCACACAATCTCTGCATGTCTGCTTATCTTTTCCTGGATTGGACAGCTGCTGGTGGAACTAGCGGAATTAACCGCTTCTTCACAAAAGAAACTTTTCCGGAGGTGTTGCTCTGTAATAAGTAGTATATATATTTTGTCCATGATGTGTTTTCAGTATGACTTTTGCTTCCCTTTAGGTTAATGCTGCAGAGGTTGAAAAAAATGAATACTTTCTAATCCTTGTAAGAAAACAATGTATTGACAAGAACATAGTGGTGCACTAAAGAAGTGGCCATGGTTGTGCAGAATGTTCTGCTTTAGTCTTCTGTAACCCATTGTCTGTGGTTTTCATAGTGCGATCTTGTTTTATAGCACCTGAATAGAGGAAAAGCCACGTTTTGACTTGCTAATGGTTTTACCTTTTTTTATATTATTATGATTATTATTATACAGTATTTATAAAGCGCCAATAGTTCGCTCAGTGCTGTACATTACAAAGGGGGACAGAACATGTGACAAAACAATACCAATACAATGCAAAACATGAGGGGATTGAGGGCCCTTCTCTTTCGAGTATGTATTAGTATCCATTTTTACCAATAAATCCACTTAGAAGAAGAGCGATAATATAATTGTACTTTAGTTTTAGCTGACCATAGCCAGTTATATTTTTTTTTATGTATTTCAGTGGCTACAGAGAAGCTAATTCAAGCAGTTTATTTGACATACCAGCAAAGAGATTTGCATATATCGGTGCGCTCAATGCTTCTGAAGTTTTTCAATAGGGTTTATTTAAAAGAAGAAGAAATGTTTCTCAACTTGGGGAGGTAAGACTTTATTTTGAAACTTCTTTAACAACTCTTCTACATGTGTACTTGTCAATGGAATTGTTTTGACTACAAAGAACTAAAAAAAAAATGTATGCTTCTAAAATTTCCTATGCAAGATGCATGTGTACTTGCATGCATGATTTAGCGAATGTATACGGCTGTAGCTCTTCCTGGAACTTTTAAGGCTTTCCTTAGATATGGTGATCCCTCGTGCGTTTTTTTTTTTTTTTGGGGGGGGAGTTTAACCTAGGACCTTGCAGTTTGCTTCTAGTATGTTCCCAAGCAACAGGTTAGACTGCCTCTGTTTGTCGTTTCTTCACTTTTTGCTTCCTCATCGTTTTTTTTTTTCCCCTGAACTCTAGCTTCCCTATCTACCAATATACCTTTAATGTGCCTGTGTTATGGAAAAGAAATGGCTTTCTATGTCTTTTAGAACAGATATTACCTCAACCTCTAGCGTGTTCCATACAAAACTCCTCCATTACTTCCTGCTCTGTCCTGAAATTTGGTATTTAGGATATAAAAACCAGTAGAAGGAAGTACGTTGCCAGCTGACCTCATTTGCACACCCTGCACCTGCCCTCCCCCTCCAGGAGATTGCTCCTACCCACCTCTGTGCTCACATGCAATCATTAAGTGTTCTTGCATGGCGACCACTTCCTGTTATCTCACATATATATTCTTATTATTATAGCCAAATTTACCACCCTAACTACTCCCACAGTTTTTACACTACATAGACCGTAATATACCGAAACGTGCGGATTGTTCCTGATTGGTGGGTGTGCTATTACTTTGCGGAACGTTTCGCCGAATGGTTCACGAAATATCAGCGTTTTTTTGTGGTGAAATTGGTCCTATAGGAATGAATGGCGGAATGTTCAAAACTAGAGTGGGAGCTGACAAAACCTTTTCACAGTTACTCCAGCCACTCCAACCACACAACAGTTACTCCACCCACTCCACCCAGTTTCTCCGCCCACTCCATAAAGTTACTCGAACCTTTTCACAGTTACTCCAGCCACTCCAACCACACAACAGTTCCCACTCCAGTGCCCACTCCACCCAGTTACTCCGCCCACTCCAGTTGTAGACTACTGGTGGAGGCAAGAACACTTCACACAATTTCCCCAGAAATTGTAGCTTTTCTAGTTCTATATATTATTATACAAGATTTATATAGAGCCAACAGTTTACACAGTGATTTGCAATCTACAGGGAGACAGTACAGTGGCAATACAATGCAAGAGGGTTATATCATTATCTGTTCTCACTAAATACACAGCCAGTGATCGTTGTTTTTTTTTTCTAATGTTCCTTCATCTTGCACAAATCGTTCACTATACAATCTGATTGATTGTACAATCTCTTTTAGATCTACCATCAACTATGTAGTGCAAGAGCCTGCCTAATTGAATACAGAGTGGTTGGAAAGATAGGGGTGTTCTCTTATTACATAGTTTTGGTAAATCTAATGGAGATTGTACAATCAGATTGTATAGTGCATGGCCACCTTTATACACCTAAAATCAACGAGTTGCACTTTCAGTCTCATTAATTGTTAACAGCACCCCAGATGCAGAAGTAAACACACATTTTACTACGTGGAAAAACGAGCGACAAACACTGCAAAATGCGCAGTAAAAGATGTGCAAAGCACAACATGCCAAAATGTCCCATGAGCTACTTTGCCATGTGTAGGACAGCCCATTGAAATCAATGGGCTGCCCTATGCCTGTTGTGGGAAAATGAGCCAAAAAATGTGTTTTCCCACTACGCTAGGTGTGAATGTGGTCTGAAAGTGAAATTGTGTGTATAAACAAGAACAATGAAGCTCCATTTACATCTGTGCATTTCCGAATGCATGGCAAACTGCACAGAAAACGCACACTTTTCTGAACATTTTGTAAACACATATTGCACTTGCAAACGAATAGGCTGTCCTATGCGTAACAAATGGAAATGCTGCAAAATGCCCCCCCAAAATGCATGCAGAAACGTGAGTGATCAGCAGCTGTGGCAGAGGGGACTTGGTGAGAGATTCTAGGAGTGCCTTGGTTCCATATAAAGGAAATACAAATAGAATGTATTTGTCAAAAATACTTCTGGGGAATGGGGCAGGGAGAGTTGACCAGAAAATATAAATATTTAGGAATTGCATTTTTTAACAGATTCACCTGACACAAAGATTTACTAAAACAGGAGTATTCAGAATTTGATGCAGCTGTGCAATAAAAGCTTTGGCAATACTATCTAGAAGCTGATTGATTTCTGTGCAGAGCTGCAACATATTTTGCTGTCTCCAGTTTTAGTAAATAACCCCCCGTAAGGTCCAGTGGGAGATTTATCCAATTGGTCTTGTTTCGTTGAGTGTCCAGAAATGGGGTAAGTTTGTTGGGTATATATTGTATAGTTCTGAAATAGATTTTGTACCATTTTGCCAAGATATCTAAATTAGTGCACTACATAAAGTTTAGAGGCAAATATATATTTTTATTAACCTCCCTGGCGGTATGATTATGTCAGGAATTGCACCAAAAGCAGTACCATTTTTTTGCATGGAAATTTGGTGTTATGTATTGTAGGCCTGCAATTCTTAGTAATTACTTACTTAATAAATACTCATAAAAAAAATAATAATATAATAATAATAAATTTAATTCAATAATATAATCAAACCAAAAACACTGAAATTTGAAATATAGCGCCAAGTTCGCACATCGCTGAGCAAAGTCGCAAAATCGTTTTCAGTGTCTGATGACGAATTTCCCCCATGAATCATTATCACTCAATTCTGCAAGTGGTTCTGATTTACCATCGCTGTTCTCTAGCCGGTCTAAAACCGCGTTTGACCTAAAGGGACATTTTTTGGACGCCGTGGACTTTTCTAAGTTTCCAGGCAGAAAGAACAGTCAAAATGCAGGCAGGGCGCCGGACAAAGCACTCGGGACAAAATGTATGTGAAATGGTTTGATACAGGAATGTTTTGCTATGAAATAATCGTTTTAAAAAAAAATGTCATTTTTTTTAAATTTTCAAATTTGCCTCCGGTTCCGGCGCCCGTACGTCCCAACGTCACAGGGACCGGAACACGGAAGCCAGATGCCGGCATCGGCCGGAGGAGATGGCCGGGGACGCTGCAGGGGACGCATCGCAGGAGCGAAGGACAAGGTAAGCTCTGCAGGGAATCCCTGAGCAACGCCGCATGGTAAGCTCGAGTGTAGCTCGGGGTTACTGCTTTTGGTACTGAAACTTTACCCCGAGCTACACTCGGGAATACCGCCAGGGAGGTTAAATGTATCACAAAATAAGAAAGAAACGTGTATGGGTCATGCCAATACTGGTACAGAATAACACAATCAGGATGTGCTATGACTGTACACAAGTCTCAGAAATAAGAGCAGAGTATATAACATATGATAAGCGTATATAGGACATAAACAATAAAACACTGCTCGTAGGAATCCTTTGAAAAAAGGCGTAAGGTGGCACAATGGTAAATTCGAGGCGCATGGAAAAAGAAAGCCAAGAGGGAGAAAAGAAAAGCAGAAAAGGCCAAAGGGAGAAAGAGAGCAAAAAAAAAAAAAACTGGGCAAGAATCGGGACCAAAATGAGGTAAAACAAAAGTGTTTATGAGCATACATGGACACACAAACCAAATACTAGGAGAATGGAACGGGGTTGGACAACTTGGGGGGCATCGAGAGGTGCCAAAAACATTCCATAACTTAACTCACAGGTCACAGGGGGAGATAAAATCAGTAAATACAGTGGGGAAAATAATTTTTTGATCCCCTGCAGATTTTGTAAGTTTGCCCACTTACAAAGAAATGAAAGGTCTATAATTTTTTTCATAGGTGTATTTCAAATGATAGAGACAGAATATCAACCAAAAATCCAGAAAAAGCACATGACACACGTTATAAATTGAGATGCACTTTAGTGAGTAAAATAAGTATTTGATCCCCAAGCAAAACATAACTTAATACTTGGTGGAGAAACCCTTGTTGGCGAGCACAGAGGTAAGACGTTTCTTGCATTTGGTTACCATTTTTGCACACATCTCAGGAGGGATTTTGGTCCACTCTTCTTTACAATCTTCACTAAATCCTTAAGGTTTCTTGGCAGTTACTTGGCAACTTGACGTTTCAGCTCACTCCATAAATTTTCAATAGGATTAAGGTCTGGAGTCTGGCTAGGCCACTCCATGACCTTAATGTGCTGCTTCTTGAGCCACTCCTTTGTTGCGTTGGCGGTATGTTTTGGGTCATTGTCATGCTGGAAGACCCATCCACCACCCATCTTCAGTGTTCTGGCTGAGGGAAGAAGGTGCTCATTCAAGATTTTACAATACATGGCCCAATCCATTGGCCCCTCAATGTGGCAAAGTCAGCCTGTACCTTTTAGCAGAGAAACAGCCCCAAAGCATAATGTTTCCACCTCTGTGCTTGACTGTAGGGATGGTGTTCTTGGGGTCCGTCGTCATTTTTCTTCCTCCAAACACAGCAAGTCGAATTAATGCCAAAGAGCTCAATTTTGGTTTCAGCTGACCACAGCACTTTCTTCCAATCCTTCACTGAATAATTTATAGATGTTCATTGGCAAAATTCAGACGGGTCTGTACATGTGCCTTCTTGAGGAGGGAGACCTTGCGGGTGTTGCAGGATTTCAGTCCATGGCAACATATTGTGTTACAAGTGGTTTGTTTGGTGACTGTGTCCCAACTGCCTTGAGATCATTAACAAGCTCCTCCCGTGTAGTCTTGGGCTGATCCCTCACTTTTTTTTATGATCATCCTTACCCTATGAGGTGAAATCTTACATGGAGCTCCAGACCAAGGGCAATTGTTATTTTGTTTTTCTTCCATTCGCGAATAATAGCTCCAACAGTTGTCTCCTTCTCACCAAGCTTCTTGATGGTCTTGTAGCCCATTCCAGCCCCGTGCAGGTCTACAATCTTGTCCCTGATGTCCTTAGCCAGCTCTTTCGTCATTTGCCCATGATGTTGAGGTTTGAATGGAAGAAAGATTCTGCGGACAGGTGTCTTTTATATGCATAACGAGTTGTCGTTAGAAGCACCTTCTTAACCTCTTGCCCTCTGCCTGCTGTTTATAAACGGCAGGGCGGTGGCAGTCCAGGGGCGGGTTGCCATTCCTAAACGGCACCCGCCTTTTCTAGCTGTGCGCGCTCCCTGGGAGCGCGCACCGCCGTGATCCGGTGCCCGCTGTGTCCTCCGGACACAGTGAAACACCGATCGTCGGACGGGACCTCTGTACGAGGTCCCGATCATGTGATCACTGATTGGCGAATCAGTGATCACATGCAAAGTAGTAAGCAAGATGTTACTTGTGACATCATTGCTTACTACGTGTGAAATCTGTGAATGATCACAGAGGTCACATGGTACAAGGCTATTCACAACAGCCTTGTACCATGTGACAAGCTGTGACCAATCACAGCTCGCTCAGTACTTCTCAATGACTGCAAGCATGCAGACAGAGAGAAAGAGAAATGATTGCTTTTACATCCTATATGGGTGTAAAAGCAATCAGTGTAAAAATAAAAAAAAAAATCTTCATCACCCCCCACAAGTAGTACAGTGTCACTGTGGTGACACTGTACTGCTAGGGTGACAGTATGTAAAAAAACAAAAAATAAAAATGTAAAAAAAAATGTTTAAAAATTATAATTTTTGGTTACAAACTAATTTGGATTTTTTTTTTTTTTTTTTTACTGAAAAAATAACGGAATAAATTTTGGCCAAGATTTATGATGAAATATTATTTATTTGCAAATTTTTATTAAAAAAAAAACTTTTTTTCACAATTTTTAGACTTTTTCATTTACATAGTAAAAAAATAAAAATCCCAGCAGTGAATAAATTCCACCAAAATAAAGCTTTATCTGTCTCAAAAAAATGGTAAAAAATTCATATGGGTACAGTGTTGCATGACCGCGCAATTGTCATTCAAAGTGTGATGGCGGTGAAACCTGAAAATTGCCCTGGACAGGAAGGGGGTAAAAGTGTCCGGACAGGAAGTGGTTAAATTGACAGGACTAAGCTGTGTACCACATGAGCGCATAGCCCATCTGTGGGAGCCAGAATTATTGTTGGTTGGTAGGGGATCAAATACTTATTTTACTCACTGAACTGCAAGTCAATTTATAACATTGGTATCGTGTGTTTTCTGGATTTTTGGTTGATATTCTGTCTGTCATTTAAAATACACCTATGATAAAAAATTATAGACCCTTCATTAGTTTGTAAGTAAACTTACAAAATCTTCAGGGGTTCAAATAATTCTTTTCACTACTGTAAATAAACATGTTCTTGCAGTGAATTATAGAGGAAGATCTCAGTATGATAGTCAACAGTTACATAGCAACAGCAAAAATATTAGGGGAGAGAGGATGGCCCTGACTGGTGTCACAAAAATCTTGTAAAGGAATCCGAGATGGAAGTATTAACTCTTATTCTTGTGGTGCAGTAGATGAAATCTCCACCCAGAGAGAGAAATGGCCCCAAACCAAATCCAAATGTCTTCAGGACTCTGAGGAGGTAAGGCTATTCTACACTGTCCAAGGCCTCTATGTGTATCCAGGAAAATAATGACCCTGCCCTCAAGGGGTTGTGGATTAGTAAAATAAATCCTGCTTGATCTGAACCTACCAGTTTACTTAGAAATATAGTATTACTGTATAAGTCTGATGGCCAAGGATTTGGCTAAAATCATAACATTGGGGTTTATATGAGAGCTTAGGGTTTCACATTGAGTTGGGTTTTTCCCTGGTTTCAACATAGGTACAATCATGGCAGTGGGTGGTAAAATCCCCCTTTCAAAGTCTTCCTCAAAAGAATCAAGGTGGAGGCTGTACCAATCTTCAGGGATGCTATCTAGGCCCAGAGATTTATTTTTTTTTTAGAGGGGAAAGCAATTACATGTAAAAAGATGGGAAATGAGACCAACAAAATAAAGAACGTACACCAATGGCCTAAACCATAACAACATATTCTATATTAGAAAACCCCTGCCCACCACGCTCATTTGCTTCTACTTAAACGTAAATTCTTATAACAAATAGTTATAACATATAACCTAGAACGAATCCAAGGGAACATGGTATTGGTTGATGTGAGGGAACCAAACTATATTCTCACTCTTTAGGATTGGATTATAGAGGATTTCTCCAAGGATAGACATATTGTAAGGGTCAAAGGAGTGTCCTGAGTATGTTTGTAGTACAACCAGGTGAGTGCGTCAAAGGAAGTAGGGTTCCTGAGAAGTCGCCAAGGGTCACTAGCATAGAGTAGAATGCGTAGACTGCCAGTTGGTGAATAAAGTTCCTGAGTAGACAATTCAGTAATGACTGCTGAGTTCAAGAGAGCAAACATGTTGAACAGACAGGATTGAGCTTGATTTAGGAACCAGAAGTGTCCTATACTATAAAACCAGAGCAAATATATGGTAATGAGAGATTATGTAGACGCATGATGCCATCTAGTGGATGTAATAGGGAACACTCAGGACATTCATAATGCAAACAAAGGAGCTAACTGTGTGTGTGTGTGTATGTATGTATGTATATATATATATGTATGTATGTATGTGTGTGCGTGTGTATGTATGTATGTGTGTGTGTGTATGTATGTATATATATATATGTGTGTGTGTGTGTGTGTGTGTGTGTGTGTGTGTGTATGTATGTGTGTGTGTGTGTGTGTGTGTATGTATATATATATATATATATATATATGTGTATGTATGTGTATTATATATATATATGTATATATATATGTATGTATATATATATATATATATATATTGTATTGTGACAGTATGAACGGCGAGGTGATAGATGGACGCTATGGGGTTTATTTACTAAAGCTGGAGAGTCCAAAATCAGACTCCCTTCTGCATAGAAACCAATCACCTTCCAGGTTTCATTGCCAAAGCTTCATTGAACAAGCTGAGGTTAGAAGCTGATTGGTTTCTATGCAGAAGGGAGTCTGATTTTGGACTCTCCAGCTTTAGTAAATAAACCCCTATGTGTCACCTCGCATATGCTCATACTTTGAAGTTTAGGTGGAGTCCACTCCGGGTTTTTGGGGTCACAATGGCAGAGGTGGTTCCGGACCAGATTTTGTGCTTCACTGATGACCAACAACAGGTGGTATAAATAAGACAGGGCCGGAGCAAGGAGCCACTCGTGGCCTGGGACTCAGGGAGTCATTCTGAGAGAGCTGTGCATGAAAGTGATTGTTATACAAACAAGAGAAAAAAGGTTTTCTTATTTTGTTTTGGTTGGTGACAGGGAGAAGCCCTTTACCAGTGAGAGAGGAAAAAGTTCTATGTTTAGTTAGTGCCTGGATAGCAAGGGTTTATTTTGATGTTTTGTTTATTTTGATATCTTGCAAACCTTTTAAATAAAAAACTGACAACCAGTCAGATTTTTAAGAAAGCCTGCTGTGCGGTCTACATTTTTCCCAGGGAAGGAGATCCCCCACCTGAGCTACCCCCACAGTATATATATATGTATGTATGTATGTATATGTGTATATATATGTGTATGTGTGTATATGTAATATATATATATATATATATATATGTATATATATATGTGTGTGTATATGTAACCAAGCAGATGCAGGTCTAATCTCTAAATGGGGTATGCAAAAACTGAATTAGGATCCATTCCTAGGAGGTCAAAAGAGAAAAAAAGTTAAAACAGGAAGAGAGTCATATCATTGAGTTTCCATAATTTTAGGCACATGTACAAAGGGATTCTTATCCATCTTACAAATTATTCCTGTGTCCTTGGCACATTGTGGGAAGGCACTCTGTTGGTTCAGCCCATCAGAGTCATCTGCTGGTAGGGAAGAAGGTAAATCTGTCCTCCATGTTAATACACAATTTGGCAGGATAGATCATAGAATAAGAAATACCCTTTTCCCAGAGTCTCTTCTTAACCGTAAGGAAGGTAGCTTGTTGCATTGTATATCCGATGAAAAATTAGGGAAGTTACTATGAAACTGAAGGTTCCCAGATTGGTGCGCATGATAGCCATTTTGTCCTGGAAATTCAGGACGTTTGCAGTCAAAGATCTGGAGTTTCCCCCCTACTGGAGGCGGTTCAGGGGAGAGCAATGTGCTGTCTTAATTGTAAATGATGCAGAAACTGAAAAGGAGGGCAACGTCTCATTATTTTCCAAGAAGTTTTCAGGAGTGAAGCCTTCGGCTCTTTCAGGAAAGCCTATTAAACTCAAATTATTATGTCTGGAGGGATTCTCCAGATCATCAAACTTTTGATGACAAGCTTGAAGTTCCTGCTGTAATATCCTGCTATTAGTGATGAGAGGGGAGACCGTATCCTCTACTGTGCTAGTATGCATTTCTTTGTTAGAGGTGCACTTGCATAAGTTCTTGTTTTAACAGCTCTGACAATCCTTTATTTGGGAGACTAAGGCTGTCTCAGTCACAAATTGCTTCCATAATCTGATCCAAAGTGGGACTGTGGATTCTACAGTAGCAAATGTTGCTTCTCCTTCCTGTCTGTTTAACCGATATCCTGCTCCTCACCTCTTCTGCTCTGCAGTAAGATGTCCCTGCCACTTTCCTCATCCCACTATGTCAACCCCAGCAGGGAACCACACTCTTCACACCCAGATGCCTCTTTACTATCTAGTCACCAACAACCACCTTTAAGTCACTGCTATCTTCCCAACTCCTACTGCCATCACTCTCTGCCGCTGCTCTTTGAGGACCAAGAACAGCCGCTTGCTAACAGCACTGATTGGATGCACCTTCCTCCCTAGTTTTCCCTGCTGCTCAGGGATGGCAATCTCTGGTCCCTGCAGGGTGCTTCTGCCAGAGACCAAATGGCATCATCTTCCACCCTGATGTTCTCTGGCAATACATGGGGTGTAGCGCTATCACCTAGATAAAACAATCTGTGCAACAGTGATCTAAACGTGACAATCACATAACTGATGATAATATGGTGACAAAATAAAGAAATATAAAAGTCTATAAATCCAAGTGCTCTTGTGCTCGAAGTCCACAAAGCGCAAGAAGTGAATCCATTCTCCAGAAAACCTCATGATTTCCAATAGGGATAGCGGTAACTTGAATTCTTACTAGGCCACCATGACCATCATACTACTGAGTGTCCAGAAGCGCTTGAGGGACAAATCCCAAGAACTGCCCACTGGAGATGGTGTACTCCAGCCTTTTGATCTCACTCCGCCTATACAACAATAGGTTATAAAAAGAAACCCTTCAAATCCTACGAACAATACATTGTAAACCCACGGCTCGTTTATTGGTGAAAGGCTATAGCTTGCAATAGAGGTACCTGACAGGGCTGCCCCCTATTTCCAGTTCTATTTATATTGGCCTTGGAGCCCTTAGCAATCAGGATCCTAAGCACTCTGGATATACAAGGGGTCTAACGGGAACATAAATGT